TCCATCACAATGACAAAGCTGTGCATGTGTTTGTTGAAGGGAGAGTTTATATGAATTCACGCTCCTTTACATATTTTTGCATGAAATCACGTTCTCCTTCAACCGTTCCCTGAATTTAACATAATTATCAATCGGTTGATAATTAATAATAAAGTCCCACTGTGCAGTTTTTGTCTCTTTGTATAGGAAGTGCATGATGATGATGATTTGTTGGGGGACTTGTGGGAGTCATGTGGCTGAAAGACCTCGGAGTCTCTGCTGATGTGTCCTGGAAATGGACGAGTGTTGAAGATGATATCAATGCCTTTGTCAGGACTTTTTCAAACGATGGGACAAAGACGACAAGAACTCTTCCCCCAAACAAACCTTTTTCATTAGAGCAGCAAACAATTCATCCCTCTGCTGGTGTGTGTGTGTGTGTGTGTGTGTGTGTTTGTGTGAGTCACTCAGCGAGCTCCCACATGGAGGAGCCTAAAGCCTCAGCGTTCTTCAGCCGGACACTGAGGCGGCCTAATTAAAGGGCACTTAAGCCCCACAATGTGCGGCGGTGCAGGTTGGAGTTGGTGGGGGTCCCCGTCGAGAGGGACAGAATTCATGGCACTAGTAAACAAGGGAGTCCAGGACAGAGGGACAGAAGAGGGCTACGAGCCAGAGACTTTGTTCACACAAGATGAAGAGTCAACAGCCTCCCTATCCCTCACCCCTCCTCAGCCATCCCCCCTAATAACCACCTTCTTCAGAGGAGCTGCGAACACAATGCCGTCCCACTCCCCTCCTCTTGCTCTCAATCACTGTTGGGACAATGAGGAGAACCCCCCTACCCCAACCCACCACCACCTCCACCATCCTTCTGCCCCTCCCCGACCCCCAAACAGACACTTCTTTTATTGAAATTCTTTGGTGTTCTAATCCTCAGCTTCCTCCAGGGGCAATAATGGACTCCCTGCGTCAGCCTTTTCCAGCGGGGCTATCATCCGAGCCCGCCTGGGTCACAAGTCCACCTCTGCGATTGGAGAAAATCTGCCCCGGCACCGTCGTTCCTGTCACATCCAGCTCATCCACGGGCCAAACGAGCTGCAGGGCCATTGAGCTGAAGAACATTACAGGCCATTCATGTTTTTATCGTCTCAAGTAACATTTGCTGCAAAACCATTTAATCCTTTAATTGCAAAAATAATCAGATACGTTACTCTTATGATTTACAGCACCCGTTGTAAATAACTTTCGTACTTATCCCTTTTTTTGTTCATATTTATCAGCTTTCTTCAACTTGAACAAAGCATCTTCATGTTGCCTAACAGTTGGCAGAAAGTGTGGAAAATGCTTGAAATGTGAAATACCGGTGAAAACAAATTGTCTGCTGCAGATTATTCTGTGTATATCCGGTGGTAAGTGGACAGTATTGAATTATTATTTCTGAGATTCCCCCATAATAATAAAGGAGGAGGAAAATTCTAAAATACAACCACTGCCATGAACTACACATCCCAGAATAACTCTAAAACATTTCCTATTAAAACTCCACTTTATAACTTTCATGAATGTGGGAGTTATCGCAAGGTTGTTTGATTAGATCGCACTAACTTCAGCTACATTATAAATTAGCAAAATAGCATTTAAACACATATATACAGATATTAAGACTAAAAACCTGCAGGTTTACTTGCACAATTAACTTTATCCCAGAAAATGAGGAATCACGTGTAAAACTAAATGTAGAAGATGTATCAGACTGTGGTTCTGTGTGTGTTTCTTCACTGGTAACAGGGTTAATTAGTGATGACAAGTACAAACACACATTTCTAGTATCATTTATCTTCACTGCACTTCTGTTTCTGTGCTAAAATAAACTTCACTGAATCCAGCAGCCACCTCACAGTGTGTGGATGGTGACACCTGCTGGTGAAACTCAATCACCAGCTCTTGATTGGTTAATTAATGAATCACTGGATCCTGCATGAACGATGTCAGGAGCCTGTATTGTGATGAATACAAGCAAGAAAAATCTTTGTATTCCAATAAATGCTACTTAACGCATTACCAGGAAAATTCTGTTGAAGGCTGCGGATCAGGAAAGAAACCATTCAATATTCAGCTCGTTCTTTAACATGTTAACACGTTTGTGACATTTGTGTCAGTGTCCAAGGGAATAACTCAGGGATAGTGATGAAATAACGAACTCCAATCCATAATAATTAATCTTTTGTGACCACCAGATCACGAGACTTAAAGTTTTTCACTTTAGAATTATGCAAAACAGGAGCAAAATGTGATGCTGCTCATACTCAATGAAGTGAAGTTTGTAGATTCTATATTATAACTGTGTCCTGTTCAATTAGGCAACACCACTCGTCACACGGGCCTCTAACACCAGAGCCCTCAGCCAGGAACATTTAATTATTCCATATCTGCTACAAAAAAGAATAAAGTTCCTCAGATTTCTTCCAGATTTTCTTTTAAAGCTGCTGTTGTGGTTTCATGACCCATTAAAGCTGCATTAGCCTGAGAGCGACGTGTTCGATATCCCTCCAACACGCTGTAAATGTCAAACCAGCACAAAAGCCGTGTAAGACTCGATCGCTACAAGCTTAGGAATCGTCAACCGTGCTGCAGGACGACACATTCTTTGCTGATGACACGTAAAAAATAATTGACACTGGACTCGCAGCTGCAGACGCCAGAACAGATTTCAACATGAAATGCATCTCATCATTAAAAGCCTTTTACTACTGGCATGAGCCCTGTTAATGGAATCACATTGCGTCTGAGAACAGCGGCATCGATGACCCGTGGGCATTCGTACAAAGTGCAGAGAAATGTAGTCTACAGAGGAACATATCTAAACAGCTATTAAATATGTGGTTGAGGAGAAATGGATACAACCGCAGGACTTTGAAGCTTTGATTTTATCATCGGTGGTGGCAGCCAGAGACGTCCTACGGCAAAGATCACGTATCCACTCTTTCTTGGCTCAGTTCTTCTCACTGGTGCTGCACGAGAAAACATGTCAGAGTGTTTATCATGAGGAAATGACGAGAGAGAAGTTCACTGTCCCGCTTCAAAATGTGTCCCTGATTGTCAAATATGTCCAGATGACAACTTGACGATGACATTGCCTCCTCCTCCTCCTCCTCCTCCTCCTCCTCCTCCTCCTCCTTCTCCTCTTGAGGTGCATTTTATCTCTGTCATGTATTCGTCCATTGTTCCAGTGCCAGAGATGATCTCACCGCACTGTCATCCATCGTTCACAGTTGCACAGACCTCTAGGTTTACACAGCTACGACAGCTTCAGCACCCGAGGCCCCGAGCATGTGAGAGCGTCCACTGTCAGCCGGCCAAACCTGTCTGATGCCACTCATCACAGGGGAGCAACCCTCAGAAACAGTGGGTGTCGTGTGACATCGCATGCAAGGAGAACACAGTTGACCCCTGCAGCCTCCGGCGACTCAGGGCCTAAATTAGTATTCAGACTTATCTTTGGATCTAGAACATGACACTGTTGGTCTTTGATTTGCGGAGCAGAGTATCAGTCTCATCAGTCAGCTTTCCTCGCCTCCAGCAAGGTCTCCTCTCACCTTGGCTACATGACGAGTCAAGGGCCTCCTTTTGTACCGAGGTATGTAGTGCCAACCAGAGAGCGTCTGTTTTAATGAAGCTTAAATAAAATTAGTTCAAATTTTATCTCCACAACCATGATACCTAAGCCCCCCCCCCCCCC